AATGCTGTGCCGTTTGGCTGCAGCCAGAGGACCTCGGATTTCTGGATGACTTTTTTGTATTAACTATTCCTCTTTGCAGACTCATTGTGGCATTTCATGTTGTCCCTCAACTATCTTTTATCATCCCAGCAATTCAGGGTAGTGGGATGGCCTGGGAACCTGGTCTCCTTCAGATGTAGTAGACTGCAAGTCCTAGAATTATTCCCCAAATCCAGACTCAGAAGGCTGCAAGACGTCTTGCAGGCTGAGAAAGGCGGCTAAGAAATGTTTACTAAATGAACTGTTGTAAGTCAAGGACTACCTGCGTATGGCTGTAAGTGAGCTTTCTTCCTTCAGCTAAAATCATAAGCAGATGCCAAAATAATTTCCCGAAAGGATGAGGATGATGAACAAGAAGTAGATCTAATAAAGCGGTTCTCAACCTATGGGTCGTGACCCCATTTGGGGTCGATCGACCATTTCACGGGGGTCGCCAAGCAAGGCTGTCTCCGCCATTTTTTCCCCCTTTTCCGGCGGATGCCTTACCTCCCTTGAGCTGGGCCAGCTGGTGGTCGGCCTGCTCCGTCTCTGCCGCTTGCCAGCTACGCCTCGGCCGGCGCAGGGGGCGGAACCACGCATGTGCGGCGCTCCCGGGCAGGGAAAGTCCTCGACTTACGACCGGTTGGGTAGTCCTCGACTTACGACCGGTTTAGTCCTCGACTTACGACCGGTTTAGTCCTCGACTTACGATCGGTTTAGTCCTCGACTTACGACCAGCTTAGTCCTCGACTTACGGCCGGTTGGGGGTCGGGGCATTAAAAAGGTTGAGAACCACTGATCTAATAGATGAGAATATTTGTAGCTCAAGTTTGACCTGGGGGGGGGGGGTCCTTGGTGTTCTCTGAGCTTGGTGGCTTTCTTTCAGATGTGAAACACTTTTTATCCATCATGTCATCATACATTTTCTTGTTTCTTATCACCCATGCGTGTATGCAGTGCTTTTTTTGTAAAACAAAAAGGTGCCGGAACTCACACACGTCATACAACCCGCCTTGCCTACGCTACAAGGTTCCATCCAAAAAAGGTGCCGGAAATCCGTTCTGGGCGTTCTATGAGAAAAAAAAGCCCTGCATGTATGTATTTTATAGGTGGTGCCCAACTCCCAGACAATTCTGTATGGCTCACAATTTAGCATATAATGAATCCTGAAAGTCATAAAACACTTAAATAATAACACAATACAAAATGAACATAACAAGATGGAAGTCCAGGCCCTCGCCAGCAAAATAAAATAAAATTCTGCAAAGCGCATGACAGAAGGGCCGCTACTTGACAAAGCATGAATTTCTCGAACAGTGTTTTTCAACCGTGGCGGCTTGAAGAATTCCCAGAATTCCCCGGCCAACAGAGTTGGGAGTCAAGGTCCATATCTCCTTTAAGCTAAGCCCAGTCAATTATGAGACACGCTACTCTAGAACCTGATTTTCCTGCAGCAATGTCCCTGGGTCACCTCTAAACCTCACAGGCATTTGGAGAAAATAAAAGCAATGTGTGGCTGCAATGCAGAAATTTATTTGGAACTATCCTGGATTGTCTCCCCCCCCCACCCCCATCAAAAAAAAAAAAAAGACAAATGGAAGATGGGCTGGGAGGACCATATTAAGACTGTCTTGAGATATGCTGTCACGGTGGGACTTTGTGACAGGTGCATCCCCCCCCCTCCAGCACTGCAATCTACATTGTTCCTCAAGAGTTTTGGTCTGACTTTGCAAAGTGCTGGGTAGAAGCACTTAAAGCAGGAGAGAATACGCGCATAACGGCATGTTGCAGGCATGCAAAGCTGATTTAACCATGCTGCAAGATCTGTGCATAGGGGGGGGGGAATGTTGGCACCCAGCCTGAAATTCCTCACTGAAATGTCATAAATCCAGTCTGCTAAAATATAGGTGGGGGGGGGGGAAAGGGCAGATATTTAAGTTTGGGAAGGAGCAAGTATCGTAGTTTAAAAGTGTCGGCAGGTGTGCCCGCATCAGAGTTTAATCTCTCTGGCTAATCTTTCAATTGTAAAATCTGAAAGGTACCATCCTCCTTCTGATTCCTGGCTGGCTCTTGAAGCTGGAAGTACAACTTCAGCGTGTTAAATTGTGAGTTTCTCTTTTCTTCTTGGTTCCTTTGACCTGCCAGGTCTGATGTGAGAGTTCTCGGGAGTGGGATCCGCTTTCAGCTTTTCCCTTTTTTGGCACTTCCTCTCTGCCGCTCTGCAGTTGGATTGACACTGTCGGATGATCCCTGAAGAGCAGCTCTTTGAAAGAGGCAGAAGCCACAACGGTGGTGTGTGAGATAAGATTACAAAAACAGAGAAGTGACTCTGGCACTGACAACCTCTCCTACACTGCAGGTCTTCTCCTCTGACATTTGCATTCATGGTGCTTCGTAGATGATGTAATCCTTACTCCGGTCCTGCCAGTCTTGTTCATACAGCTAAGTCAGGCCTGGAAATTCCACAATTGGCCAATTCCGGCAATTCACCTTAAGCTGCCATTGGGCACTGCAGCCTTCTCCAAACTGACTCATTTGGCCTTCAGACTTGTTTCTAGCCCATGGGAAGAGCGCCCTGAAGTAGCTGTTTTCAAGGTCTAATATGCCATCAGATCTTCTGTCTCTGATTTCTGAGCATTCACAGCTTCTGGAGGCAGGTTGTTCCACTGATTAATTGTTCTAACTGTCAGGAAGTTTCTCTTTAGTTCTAGGTTGCTTCTCTCTTTGGATGGAAACTAATCAAAGAGAGAAGCAACCTAGAACTAAGGAGAAACTTCCTGACAGTTAGAACAATTAACCAGTGGAACAACCTGCCTCCAGAAGCGGTGAATGCTCCAACACTGGAAGTTTTTAAGAAGAGACTGGACAGCCATTTGTCCGAAATGGTATAGGGTTTCCTGCCTGAGCAGGGGGTTGGATGAGATGACCTCCAAGGTCCCTTCCAATATTACTATTGTTGTTGTTGTTATTTGAATCTCGCTTGTTTGAATGCGTCATATTCTTAACTAGATTCCTCTCCTTGGAGCTTTCTGCGGGTATGAGGGCTCCAACTCTCAGAATTTTAAGCGAGGTTTTTCCAAACTGAAGCACAGCAAAGAATTTCAGTGACATTTACACCCGAGTTTGGCACGGAGAAATTCTGGATCCTCTGCTTCTTATTCACCCACTCCTGCAAGTACGACGGTTCCCTTGTGGACTTGAAGAACTGATTCCAGGCCTTCAAGAACTTGGCAGCCCCAAAAAGCCTCAGCAAAAGCTGCATTGTATCTTGTGGCTGCTGCCCATATTCAAGGCCAACAATGGAATGTTCTGTGTCAGGGCCATTCGAAGCAAAAGCAATGGCACCTCGTGGCTTCATGTAGTTATTTCTTTCCATCTGCACTGCTGTTCTTTACTGGTGTGCAAGGAAGAACACCAGTAACAAATCTGGTTTTCCTTCCTCTGTGCCCTGAAATTCCAAATTTGCAAGAGTGTGGTGAGAGTGCAAGCAAAGAGCATTCATCTGCCTGCAGTCTGCATTGGCACACTCTTTTTCAGCCTCTCACCCAGCTGGAAAAACTCCACTTAAGTATGAAAAGGATAATAGTCTTCTGGGTGTCATCCTGTGCCCACCTTTTGACATTTGTAAAACAGTCAGCCATTTAAATAAGACTTCTAATTTTGCCTCTGTTGAATGATGCCTTTCCTTGTTCAAATAAACTGAAGCTTTGAATGTCATGCCTTAAATAACAGATTAATTAACGTTGGCACACGTTAGCGATGATCTATTCACGAGCAGATTTTGGACTCAGTATTGAAAAAGACAATAAGCAGGTGTAGTTTTTTCCCCCCTCTTTCTTGTTCTTGATCCACCCCTGCTTTACAACAGTATCATAGGTAGATTGTTTCTCCATCCTTTCTTTTTTTTTGGGGGGGGGGTTATTTTGTTTTATTTAAGCAACTTGGTTTCTTTGCTAATGCTGATAGCTTGACGATTCAGAAAGAGGTTGTTTTTTTTCAGAGAATGCCAATCACTGGCAAACGATTTATAAACTTAGCAGGATTCATCATCCACAAATCGTGGTTATTTTGAACAACTTGCAAAGTTACCAACATATCACATGTACTGAATGTATGTATCATTTGTTTCTGTACCCTCTAAAAAGACATGATTCCCCCCCCTGTTAATAAATGTTTTTGCTTTGCTTGAATTTCTTTTTTTTTAATAAAATTTTTATTGATTTTTTCCTTCATTCAATAGTACTTGTTCAACAAACGTGTTGTCTGAGTTTTACATTCACTAATACAGATTTAATCCCTAATCCTTTATTCTTTTCTCTAGCCATCGATAAAATAAGTCCCAAGTTTGATAATATTCTGTTTCTTATTTTTCTTTCAACTTCAAAGTAAGCCTGACCATCTCCGCACATTCTAGTATTTTTTTTAATTATTTCTTCATCTGATAAGATTATGACTTTGTTTCTTGGCATGAATATTTAAAAACCACTTTGTACCGTAGCTGGAAGCTCCAGACTTTTTCGCTTATATAGTACAGGTAATCCGCAACTTAAGACGGTAATTAAACCTGGAATTATGGTTGTATGTCATGCATTAAGTGGGTGACCATATTATTGCAGAAGCCATTAAATGAATCACTGTGAGTGTTAAGTAAATGGGAATTTTTTTCCAGAAACCAAAAGTAAATGCCAGTTTCCAGATGAAAACATCATAAATTACAGTCACATCACCATGAGATGCTGCAAACAGCTGGAAATTCAGGCCAGTTGCTAAACACCCAAAATGGGATCATATGACCAGGGGAAGTGGCTGATGGGACTTCAAATCCTAGTCGTTAATGCCCCTGCAAATGTCCATCATAACTCCTAATGGTCGCTGAGCGGCCGGTTGTAAGTCAAGGACTACCTGTAGCAGTTTCTTGGAAGAGAGATCTTGCTAGCAGCTCACAGCCATTCTCATGACTATTTTCCCTTACACTTTTGCAGGGCCAAGATGGGCCTCGTGGAACATCGGTGTCTTCATTTGCATCCGCTGTGCGGGAATACACCGGAACCTGGGAGTTCATATCTCCCGAGTAAAATCTGTCAATCTGGACCAATGGACACAAGAACAAATACAGGTCAGTATAGATTTTTTGCCAGCAGCACAAGAGAAAAGTTATAGGGGTGTGTGTACTGTATGTGCAGTTTTAAAATTAGTGGAATGCTCTTCTGTCCTCAAATGCCCATTAGACAATACGAGTTGTAGAGAATTTAGTTGTCAACAGATGTGATATGCTAGTTTTCTCCCTTCAGAGTTTCCTCATTCCCCACAAAACCAATCTGGAGTAATCTGTATACACATTTAGTATTCTTCAAAAATTGTGTCCGATTTTCGGAGATTGCTTGGGCAGTATCTTGCAGCTCTCTTGTAAGGTTTTTCAGAAGCGATGTTGCCCTTGTCTCTTTCCTAGTCAATGTTTCTCAACCTTGCTTTAATATGTGTGGACTTCAACTCCCAGAATTCCCTAGCCACATATCTTAAAAGTTGTCAAGGTTGAGAAAGGCTGTTCCTGAGCCCACGGTCATCCAGCTAGCTTTATAAATGGGAGATCTCATGATCTCCCATTTTCTATGCCTGAATCATTAGGACATTAAAATATTAAAAATAATAAAATAAAATAAAATTGTAGTCTTATATCCCAGAAGTAACCCCAGGCCTTAATGTAAGCTATTTGACGAGTTTTTATTGTCTCCTCCATACCCAATCTCACATATCCTGTGATAGTTGGCATCTCTATTTCTGATCTCATTTTTCCTCATTTCTAAGGACTACATGAGTTGTGGAGAATCTAGTTGTCAGCTAACATTATATGCTAGTTTTCTACCTTCAGAGTTTCCTCATTCCCCACAAAACCAATCTGGAGTAATCTGTATACACATTTAGTAAGGAAACACATTGACAGGGCTCAGAAAGACCCCTTTCTTCACCATTCCTCTTAAGGTTCAGATAAGTTGATTCAGAATAAGCAACAATCGCTTCAGAAGGAGAGGGCTCTATTAGACCTGTCATTTTTATCAAATAAAAGCACCAGGATTGGTGAGGGAACATAACTGCTCCTTCCGGTAGATCCAAATGCAGTTTTCTGCTGAGCTGATAGAAACTGATAATGCATTTAACTATCAAGTCATCATAACCCTTGATACTGTGTAGGTTGATGTCCAAACACCATTCTAGAAATATTCTGGCGGACACTGATGCTTTGGTTGTCAGTTGTTCAAAAAAACAAAAACAAAAAAGCTTACTTCCTGAAGTTAATTCAAACAAATGAAACGAATGCAAGCAAAGCCTAATTAATTACACGACGTCACAGACATTTTCTATTTTACATTCCAGTGCATGCAAGAAATGGGAAATGGGAAAGCGAATCGCCTTTATGAGGGCTACCTGCCTGAGAACTTCAGACGACCCCAGACAGACCAGCATCCTTTCTCTGCCTGTTTTCCCCACAAGAAGATGGAAGCCTTTGAAAGGCTTAGCTTCACTGGTGGGAGTGTGGGAAGGGGATATCTCTACATCAATTTCTGCATGAACCCTTTTAGAGTCCGCAGCCTTTTTCAGAATTTTGGTGAGATTTCCCTGTTAGTGAGCATCTTCTGGAAAACCAAACCTCATAGGTCAACCCTGACTAGGGAGTGCAGTGTGCACTGTTCTCCTTCTAGTCTATGCACTCCTGGAGGTTGCATATTGCTTTTTGGCAACAGTATGAATGGGAATTGCTGTTGCCTTTATCTATGATGGGTTTTCCCCCCTCCGTTAAGTCAACACCACTGGGATTTGCTGGAGATAACTTTTAAAAGAGTTTTGTGTGGAACAAAAGGATGGCTCTAGATCCATGTTTTCAAACTTGGCAACTTTATGATGTGTGGGCTTCAACTTCCAGAATTCTCCAGCCAAGATGGCTGGCTGGGGACTTCTGGGAGCTGAAGTCCATACATCTTAATGTTGTGATGTTTGGCCGCTGCTCTATATGGAGGCAGGTAACTCATAAAACCAGCAATATCTATGCTGACAGGAGCAATTTATCTGCCCACGGCCACAGATTGATATCTATCGACAGTCCTAATCTATCCTATCCTATAATTTGTTGTCATGCTTTGCATATTAGAAACAAAACTACCATATTCTCTGGATTGGAGCACAACTGCAAATTTGCCGTTATCTTGGCTGCAAAATCCACAAAGACCGGTGGATGGCAGCAGAGGCTTAGAGTTTGCTATAACTTGTGTTGCAATCTAATGGCAGTCCAGATTTTACATTTATCAGTGAAAACTACATGTCTCCAACCCACCCCCCACCCCACCAGTTCTGGTTAGCTAACTTCAGCCTCCTGATGGTTGTCTCCAACGTTATTGTAGCATTTAATTTGGTAGCGAAACTATCTGCTCTTGGCTTATTCATCCTTATCCAGCTTCCTTCCAGAGCAGTGGAGAGCTTTATCAGAGACAAATATGAAAAGAAGAAGTACATGGACAGAAGCCTCGACGTCAACATGTTACGGGTTGGTTGGTTCTAAATGCATAAATGCTTGCTCTTTTGCTTCCATCCAGAATTTTGACCAGCAGGAGCTGTCTTGAGATGGGGTGAACAATTTTATTCTCTGAAGGATCCCATTATTTCAAGGTCATGTGGGAGGGGATATAGGAAATAGTGAATGGGGCAGAGCCCATAATAGGTAAAAAAAAAAAAACCCATATCTCTCTGTTTTATCTTTGAGTATGATATCATCACTTTCTTCTACGAAGTTTGGTGTGGAAAAGAGAAATCTGAACTGCTTACTGTACAGAGAAGAAACAAATTAGACTGAAGCAATCAGAAAAGAGCTCTTTGGATGGATGGATGGATGGATGGATGGATGGATGGATGGATGGATGGATGGATGGATGATGGAGAGAGAGAGAGGGAGAGAGAGAAAGAAAGAAAGAAAGAAAGAGAGAAAGAAAAAAAGGAAGGAAAGAAAGAAAGAGAAAGAGAGAGAGAAAAAAGAAAGAAAGAAAGAAAGAAAGAAAGAAAGAAAGAAAGAAAGAAAGAAAGAAAGAAAGAAAGAAAAAGAAAGAAAGAAAGAAAAAGAAAGAAAGAAAGAAAGAAATCTACCAGGTTAATGAAAGGCCTGGCAATGCATTTTCATGAGATTTGTCTGGTTTTAACTTTGATCACTGGTGGTGGGAGGAGTTTAACATATTCTGAAAAACCAGTCCTTTTGGTTAATTTAGGGTTTAGGGCGGTGTTTCTTAACCATAGCAATTTTAAAATCTGTGCACTTCAGTTCCCAGAATTCTGGGAGTCCATGGACTTTAAAATTACCAAGTTTGAGAAACGCTGGTTGAAAGTATTATGCGAACCCCCCAAAATGGGTCAGTCCAAATTAAAAGACTTGTGTAAACAGCAGCACTGTTAGGTTGGGAGAAAGGAAGTGTTTTGCCCTGACTATTCCTTGAAGTTGAGCAGTGAAAGTTTCCTCTTTGACCCAGAGGGAAAATTATTCCACTGAACTAATTGGTTTGCCTTCTCACCGTTCTGCGTGTTTTTGCTCATAGAGAGAAAAGGATGAAAAATGGAAGAAGGAAGCAGCTACTGGGAAAAAAATGGAGCCAGTTGTCTTTGAGAAAGTCAAACTGGTAAGGTGGCTATGGTTATTTCTGGCTTCCTTCTGGTGTCTTGTGGGGAGGGAAGGGGGCTGGAGGTATTCAGTAAGAGATTGCTAACAATGCTAGCAGTTGTCCCTGCATGAGTTGCTAACGTCCACAGAATAATCTAAGGCGGTGTTTCTCAGCCTTGGCAGCCTGAAGATGGGTGGACTTCAACTCACAGAATTCCCTGGTTCCACATATGCTGGCAGGATAATTCTGGGAATTGAAGTCCATCCATCTTCAAGTTGCCAAAGTTGAGAAAGTCTAGGGCAGGGGTAGGCAACCTTGGCTCTTTTATGACTCGTGGACTTCAACTCCCAGAATTCCTGAGCCAGCTGTGCTGGCTCAGGAATTCTGGGAGTTGAAGTCCACGAGTCATAAAAGAGCCAAGGTTGCCTACCCCTGGTCTAGGGAGACTAAGCCCAACTATCTTAGTTGGCTGGCTGAATCATTGGGACGGGCCTTAGAATAAGTTTCAAAATCCACGAGCATTTCTGGAAACATTTCCTGAAGATTACAAAAATGAGAAACTTGCTTCTTTTCATGGAATATGCATCAAAGCATTTTGGTGGTTTCTGCTTCCTTCAGCCTCAGAAGAAAGAAGAGGCTCAAATGACAAAACCCCTTTCCAGACCCTCAGAGCCAGTCATAGACCTGCTGGAACTCGGTAAGAGCACTGCTGACACCCTCCTTTCTTTTCAAAATATTTATTGCGTGGTTGCTGAATAAATAGTAAGCCGTCCTTTTTTCCATTTGGAGGAGGAGAGCTAATCCATCACCTGTGAAGAGTCGAAGGACCAAAATACTGGGTGTGATTTCACTGTTCCCTGCTAAATCAGTTATTTGTGTTTCTAGAACACGGAGGTTTATCACGGAGGTCACTCAGAACAAATAATTGTGTATTGTGTAGCAAGATCTGTTCAGTTACGATAGATGCAGGGAAATGTTGGCCCTAATTTTATATTGGAGGAAAAGGAGGCCCAGAATTACAATTAGCCCTCAACCAACAACCATCATTAAACCTGGAATTAACAGTTGTACGTTGTTGTGGTCTTTGAGAAAGCCACACCATGACCGTGCCAAGTTTTATGACCATTTTTGCAGCGGTTATGAAGTGCACATGGGGTTTCTTAATTGACTCTGTTTTATCCAATGAGAGAGTTTTGCCAGAACCAGAAGTAAACACCAGGAATTGGCAAAAAAAGTAAAATATATATATATTAAAAAATCACGGTCATATGGACGCTGCAGATGGTCGTAAAGGTGAGCCGGTTGCAAAGTCCCCAAAATGCAGTGAAGTGACCAAGAGGGTGTAACTTTGAAATTGGGTCATAAGTATCTTTTGGGTGGTCCACTGTAACTTTAAATGGTCACCAAGCCACCGGTTGTTAAGTGAGGACTACCTGTACTCCTGCCAACATCCCAGAATGCTTTGCAGTAAATTAGACTTCCATGATTCGGCTCAGGGATTTCTTCAATTAGTGGATCAGGTTAGTCCAAGGTTGCAGCTTAAAATGAGAGGGGAGATAAATTTCCACAACGTCTTTTTTGCCACCAGTCCCACTGAAAATGCAGTGCTATAACATTTTCAGAACAAAAACATCGCAAATAGCAGTCCTGACTTTCCTAGCCTGAAGTTGCATAGCACACCAGTGGCAGAAGATGCACGTGGGCTGGAAAGCTTTTCATTTCCTCTTTCATCAGAGACAGCTCGTCAACAGTTGCGTTTTGAGGGCTGAGCCAATCACTATTTCCTGTACAAAGGAAACATGGTAAAAGATTGAGACTGAAAAGGGGAAATAGGCCTCCAGAATGATTGCCGTTAAAGGCCAGTAACAGCTTAGCTGGTGTGAAAAGGGCAGAGGTAAGGGATAATCTGTACCTTATAGCTTAAGAGCTGAATTCTGCATATAAAACTGAAAATGAGCAAATTCCACTCCTGCATCGGGGCACATCCATGCACATGTGATGGTGGCAATGGTCTAGCTGTATAGGAATCTTGTCTTTTCCACCAAACCCAAAACAGCTTGCCAGGTGTGATGGTGATGGCTGCCAAGTCACACTTGTAGGATGGATGAACTCTCAAAAACAGGAGTTGGGTCTGAACAAGTATTCAGGGGAAGAATGATGAGACTTCATACTACTCAGTTACAGCTTCTTGTCCTCCATACCAGTAGCACAGGCAAAGAAATGTAAAACAGGAATATAGCATAGCAATTTATACAGCTTGAAGAGAATCAATGTGATCTATTAACAGTAGAGTGCATACAGCCCGCTATGGGGGAGAAGTTGGGGTTGGGGAGAGAAGCAGACCCTAAAACTGAAAAGTTAGATCTTTCTCTGCTGTCCAGATCTACCCTAGCAGCTACCTGTTGATTTCCACAAGATTTGAGGACCATCCAATATAGAAGGCCAAGACATCCATCCTGTGATGGATAAACGATTGGGGGGGGGGATCTTAGCAATCACACCACAGCTTCTCAGGGGGAAGGCAGCACATTCCAAAGAGAGGCCCAAGACAAGAGACTGCATATTCCTGAACTGGATGGTGAGGTAAGGAAAAGGTCCAGGGTAGCCACAGCCTAGAATCTCCCAGGGTTATATCTATTTGGTTAGAAGGTTATATAGCTTTAGTCTGGCAAGATTTTGTCTATTAGATATAAGCAAAGAAAGAACTCACAATGGTTTGGACCTCACAGTATCCTCTTTGGGCTTACCAAACTTAGCCTTTGACTCTCTGGGTGTTGCAATCCAACACATTGGAGGGTACTAATTTGGGGAAGGTGATCCCTTGGGTGATCTCAAGAAGCCAGCTGATACTACCTCCCCTGCCCTCCGTTTCTCCCAGATGTTCCTGTTTCAGCTGCCCTCCCCAATGGAAGAGCCAGCAGTTGTTTGGAGAAAGAGTTGGACCTATTTGGATCCCTGGGCACTGAGAGAAAGGTGAGAAAGTTATATTAATGGTGAGAGGCCTCACCCCAACCTATCTCACAGGAAAAAAATAGGTCTAAAACTACGCTTAGATACAAGCAAATGCATGATTAAAAAAAAGTAAAGAGTTCTAAATTTTAATTGAAATGTTCAGTAAGATGCAAGTCATGCTTAATCTTTCAGTCAACGAGATAAGATAAGATGATAAGATAAGATAAGATAACCTTTATTGTCATTTTTATACTGTGGGCACAATGGCACACATCAAAAATGAAATTTAGTTGCCTGCTCTCAAAGTGAAACACATACATGACGCACACCTAAACATACTATGTACAACATACAGTATGTATAGACCCACATCCCTTCATGTACGTAGCAAATAAATATTAAATACTGTCCATCTTGAATATATAACGGAAGGAGGAAGCTTGAGAGTTCACAAGGTTAATGCTGTTTGGAATGAAACTATGGCTGAATCTGGATGTTCTGCTTCGGATACCACGAAGCCCCCCCCCCCAGAAGGTAACAAGGAAAACAGGTTGTGAAGAGGATGTGTAGTGTCCCAGATGATCTCATGGACCTGCTCAAGCAACGCTTCTGTGCCATGTCCTGGATGGGAGGGAGGGAGGGAGCTGCCAATGATCTTTTCGGCCATCCTCACCACTCTCTGCACCGCCTTCCTGTCTGAAGCAGGGATGCTTCCAAACCAGACTGTGAAAGTGGTCAGGACAGGGGAAGGAAGATGTGCTTTTCTCATGCGACGCAGAAAATGCAGATCTTCATTACACATTAGATCCAGCAGCCAAGCTTACAGATCATTGTGTAAAATAGGTCAGTATGAAGAAGATACGCTTCTTCATTTTCGATTTAGCAAGACGTGAACACGTTCTTTATTTACTGTGATTGTAGAACATTCTTAGCTATTTTTCCTTCTTGATCCCTTGAGTCTGTGCTTACCTGTCTCTCATTGGGTTGATTCCTATCGACTTGGCTTTCTCTCCCGTTTGAGAGTCAGGAGATAAAGACTTGCCTCTCTTGCAGAATTCTTCTAAGGTGGAAAATTAGTTCATGCAGTACTTTGAAAAATGGAAAACCTGAACTGGAACCTTTAGGAAAATTGCTGCGTCAGTTCTCTGGCCTCCACCTTTGGAAATAAGCACAGTGTATTCTCTCACCAGGTTGCTGGCTCAATGCCCACATCTGGAAGTGCTGGATCTGTTCCTGAAAAACTGAACCTGTTCCCTGAGCCTGACAGCCAGGCCGAGGAGACGGGGAAGAAGCAGCTCTCCAAGGACTCCATCCTCTCTTTATATGGCTCCCATACGCCACAGATCCCTGCACAAGGTTTGCACCCCCACCTAGCTTGGCAGACACACCTGGTGGGCTTTTTATACTCAGGAATGGATTCATAATACAGGTAGACTGTAAGGACCCACCCCACTTTACATCTTAAGAAGACAGAACTCTTGGAATGTCTCTTCCAACAGGCATCTTTATTAAGAGAAGATGGTTGCAGGTGTTCTAGACAGGATCTGGGGAATTCTCTCCCACCCTTCAATGTTTTAAAGTGTTCCCAAGCAGCCCCCACCCCACAGTTCTTCCAGGCGACGATCACTCATCCTCTCTTTTCCCAGATCCCAGGCGTTGCATTGTTCCACCCCTTTTCCCTCACTGCCGGCAAAAGGGAGACTTCAGAGAGAGTAGATGAAAGGTGATGGCCATATTGTTATGGTCAGTCCTCTTGATGAGAATCAACATCCAGTCCTTTGTAGTTTAGTGAAGGAAGTGAGAGCCATAAAACCCCCTTCCTTATCCTCCTTCCTTTTCGTAGGATGACAGAATCCAGAGAGAGTAAGAAATGGGTTTTTATCAGAGTAGGTAGCTAAAATGAAATATAATTGGATTCTGACATAGACCTTGAGGGATGACCACAGTTGAGTCCAAAATTTCCGTTGCTAAGTGAGACTGCGGTTAAGTAGGTTTTGTCCCATTTTATGACCTTCCTTGCCACACTTGTTAAGTGACTCACTGCAGTTGTTGTTCCCTTAGTAACCCGGTTGTTAAGTGAATCCAGCTTCCCCATTGAATTTGCTTGTCAGGTCACAAAAAGGGATCACCTGATCCCGGGACACTGCAGCCGTCATAAATTCAAATGGTTGCCAAGCATTCAGATGTTGATCATGTGACCCTTTAATGGTCGTAAGTATGAAAAAATGGTCGTACGTTACTGTTTTCAGGGCCATTGTACAGCTGTGGCCAAAACTGTGGGAACCTTTTGGGAAAAGTGTACAGTAGAAATGCCACCTTTGGTTAAGTTTCCACCCATTTTTCTTCCAATTTCTTTATAACTGTAGCCTTGTTCACTTAATAATACTTTTTACATCGCTTTCTGGGCAATCAGTCAACTCTGCACCATTACTTTAATTTTATTATGTTTTACAAGCTCACTAAATGAAAGAACACAAAAAAACCCCAACCGACTTGATAGCCGTCACACAACACACTGACAAATGTCCTCTCAGCTTCAATACGTGACATCAATCACTGAATCCTACTGTGATATGATTGGCTCATTGGCAAAACAAGATGACACCTGATTGGCTCTTTAAACATTCGTGCTCATTGGCTACCATCAGATGAAGGAAAGCTACCTGAGATCAACCTAAGCAAGTTGTGCTTCCTTTTTCTGGTTATTTGGCTATAACTTTGCATAGAATACAGTACAGATAACTGAACAAACTATGTTGCATTATATTCTTGATTAAATTATCTTTCCATTAATATATAATTTTATGGTACTACTCCCCCCCAAAAGTGGTGTTATTAGCCATCAAACCTCAAAAACACACTTTTCCCAAAAGGTTTCCACAATTTTGGCCAGTACTGTGGAGGAGGTAGCTTAAGAGAACGTTTACGGCAGACGGTGGCATCTTCATTTGCATCTCTCCCTTCTTGACATCTCTATAGGAGCCGTGTTCCTAGCGCCAACCCAAATGGGCTACCCAGCCGCCTATCCCAATTTCCCAGGCATGGCACCACCGAGTGGCATGATGGCACCACCAGTGGGGGTGATGGCGCAGCCAGGAGCGGCAGCAGGCATGACAGCACCTATGGCGATCCCAGCAGGTTATGTAGGGGGCATGCAGACCGCAGTAATTGGGGTCCCCAATGGGATGATGGCAACACAGCAAGCTGGGTACATGCCTGGCATGGCACCTGTCCCACCACCAATGTATGTTGTACAACCAGCTCACCAATTACAATGGAACCTCGCTCAGGTAAGAGCCAACAGTGAGAACTCAGTGAGGCCTCTTTCAAATCTTGGGGGCAAGGGAAAATGTGCACTTATAGATTACCGGTAGACAATCTCATGCCTGCCAACTCCACCTGGCTGGGCACTGAACTTGAAGATAGGGGTAGCGATATGCTTAAAAAATAGTGGTATCAAGTTGCTAGTCCTAATGTACACGTTTTTACCTTGCCCTTTATCTCAAAAGAGTTTGATCTGGTAGTCAACAATAAAGAGTGAAAATGATAGATGCTGAATGACCAGCAATCACCATAAAATGCTTTCCAAAGTTCTTTATAAGCCACTTTGAGACTCATTTGATGAAAAGATGAAATATTTTCTGAAGCCCTATCGTGTTTATATTCTCTGTGCATCAGCAGTTTTTCATGATGTAGCCCATAAGTGGAGTGAAATAAATCAACTTGATGGAAATAGAAAAATACACTATTCTTCCATTTCAAAAATCTTCCTGTAGTGTAGAGGATAATATGCAGATGAGCTTAATTTTAACACAATGCCTACAGGCACCAGTATTTCCATAGACGTCTTCTCTGATGTCCTCTAAATTTCACATCCTTAGAGCTACTTTTTTGTAGTGGCAACCATAGCACCTAAAATCTGCATTGCTGTTATGAGTTAAGAGTAGCCCAGTTTAAAGATGACCCATAGTTAAGAATGGAGCCCATTGTAGCAAAATTTGAATTAAATACACAGTGATTCAAGTTAGATATACAATGGTTCGAGTTCATTACACTGATTTATTTCATTAACCAATATTATTTACCCAGTATTATACCATTGTGGCTTACATACAAGTTTGACTCAAGGACAGACTTTAGGAATGGCATTCATTCTTTAATCATCCTAATATATATATAGTTATAACCCTCTCTCCTAAGTACCCTAAACCAAACTCCGATCAAATCTCAGTTCATTTCCAAAAAGAGCATTTCATCGCTCACTGGGATGTGAGGGAAGTCTAGTTTTCTGATAAATTGGTGACCTGGCACAAAATGTTATGTGAATACGTCAAAGCAGTACATGAAGTCAGTGCTTCCTATAATGGACACGTGGATGATTTGGATTAATTAGGATTCATTATGTATTTTTTTTCAAATCTTTTTCCACCTAAATTCTTTGTGGGAAGGGAGAACGTTTCTTCTGCACGTGTCTGGCTTTCTTTTAAGTTTACCCTTTTTAAGACAACTTCTACGTCCGTCAGCGTAAGCCTTGATGTTATCTTTATTCTTGAGTGCTGATAGGTATCAGATTCTCAATCCTTCTAGCACCTCATGCCTTGTAAATGTGTTTGGCTTCAGCTCCCATTAATCACAGCCAGCCATGTTCGTCAGCACTGTTTTACACCTCTTGTTGGCATGGAGGACCCACGTGGTAATTTCCAACATGATGTAGAAGCTTTTTCCTCCCATTAACAATTGTGCCATGCCTATCAAGGATAAGAACATGAGGTCTCTTCAAGCTTCTAAGCACCAGGATTGTCGCCAGGTGGCTGATCAGCTCCAATGCAGGGAGGGCACGAAAGGTGTCCCTGGGTATGGAAAGCCACTGGACACCTCTTCTGCGGCAGGTAAGCTTGAGCGATGGGTGTACGAAGAACTGACCTGACCCCTCCTTGCCTTCTCCTTCAGGTGACGCAGCAAATGGCAGGGATGAACTTCTGTGGCACAAACGGGGTGATGCGCTATGGACAGTCAATGGGCAGAGGGGGTGCCCCAGGAACCAATCAAGCCCTCAGTTCCCAGGTGTGGAAATAGCACCCCCCCCTCCAGATTTGGACCATTTTCTCGTTCATTTTTAGCTTCGGCTCTCTCGGGTTTTGTTTTCCCAGTTCTGTCTGAAGCATCAGTTATTCCCTGTTTTTACTTATACCTTGCTGCTGACTCTCAGACGGATATTCCTCTTGCGAACGGACATCCATTCTACCAATTTCCCGCCTCGCATTCAAAACACCGATGGAGTCTTCGCCACCTTGGCTCACCTCGTCCGTAGGCGAGCATTTTTTTTTTGAGGAGGGCGGACCAAAGATGGCAGCTGGCCCTTCCGGTAGATGTGACCGTCATTTTCAAAGCCTGTTCTGGGATTGCGAAAGGAGCGGTCACGATGGCTGGTGTGACCTCTGCGTCTTTCGTCGAGGCTGCTTCACCTCAAGGCACTTTGTATTTTAGGACTTTGGCACCAAATACTCTTTGTTTTTTTTTATTCCACCAATACATTCCATGATTTTTTTGTGGGTGTTTTTCCAAAACTTACTTCATGAGCTTGAAATGCGTTGTCCCCTGGAGAGGAGCACCGTGAGCCCTCAAGCACAAATTACGCTTTTCTGAAAGTTGTGAGTTGGGAGGAGACATACCTCTTAAAAGCAAGTACTGCTTGTTTAGTCCTGGCGTATTTAAATGCCTTTTTCCCCCACCTTTCTCCCCATTTTAACCTTTGAAAGATCTAGCCTAGCGTTTCTCAATCTTGGCAACTTTACAATGTGTGAATCTCAACTCCCAGAATCCCAGTGCTTGGTGGGGGATTCTGGGAGTTGAAGTCCATCTCTTGAAGCTCCCAAGGTTCAGAAACACTGCTCTAGCTGAGGAAGGTCCAGAACCCTGGCAAGTTTTCATTTGCATTTGTTTTCCCCGTGTAACTCTCACAAGCACCCAGCTTGCCCGCATGATGACTTTATCGGAGGGGGGGGGGAAGCATCAGAGATGGGGCCAGTCTCCCATCTCAGTCACTTCACACAGGCAGTGATCACCCAGTCCACAATTTTGAAAGATTTTTTGTAGCACAAATTGGAAGCCAGGCCACCTACTTTATCTTGTGTATATGTAAATTCATTAATAAAATGCTGCAGTGAAACTCTTACCTTCTTTGTCCTTGTATTAAATGCTTGTGTTAAATGGAGATACCTTTTTTCTCAAATTTATTGAAAGATAAATTACAGCGAATGCCATTAGATTTTAACTTATTGCTATGGAATTAATCTAGTCTGTTGTTTGCAGTGCTACGTCTCTGAATTTCTGCCTGCTGGAGTCATCTACTGGGTAGAACTTAGGAGTGGCAGGATTCAAAGACAAAGTGATCCATCTCCACTATTCTATGCTAGTAAATCCCTTTGCTGCACTGGAGGGCATCATAGGAGGAAGAGGCATGAGGTTTCTCAATAATGTTGTTGTTGTTAGTTGCGAAGTCGTGTCCGACCCATCGCAACCCCATGGACAACGTTCCTCCAGGCCTTCCTGTCCTCTACCATCTTCTGGAGTCCATTTAAGCTCACGCCTGCTGCTTCAGTGACTCCATCCAGCCACCTCATTCTCTGTCGTCCCCTTCTTCTCTTGCCCTCCATCTTTCCCAGATCAGGCTCTTCTCCAGTGAGTCCTTCCTTCTCATTAGGTGGCCAAAGTATTTGAGTTTCAACTTCTGGATCTGGCCTTCTAAAGAGCAGTCGGGGTTGATCTCTTCTAGGACTGACCGGTTTGAACGCCTTGTAGTCCAATGATAAACTGGCATAATCATCTATGACCGTCATGTCTCCTGGGTTAAATTGATAATTTATTAAACTTGCCTGCCACCTATCACTCTGCAATTGTACAAAAATAGAGAATCCCAGTATGAGATACTTAGTTATAAAGATTATAGAGCAGACGACTGTCAATTTTAAAGCCTCATATGACTCTAGACCTGGTTACGAGGCTGTGCCTTTTGTATTTATCTGCCCAACCAGATCAAGTAGGACCAATCCCCTGCAGATCCTCTTTGAGATTGCAATCTCTTTGAGATTGCCAACCGATGGGGCTTTCAGAATAGATGCCTTCTCTTTTTTGGAAACTCTCCACCAGGAGACATTTGGTCAGCTTCATCCTTGAAGTAGAGGAAAATGGTGAAAACCTACTTTTTCTGCTTTGCCAGGAGGAGAGCATGTTATCACCGAAGGTGAAGTTCATGGTGCATGCATTTCTGTGGTTGGTGTTTATCTTCTTTTATTATGTCAATTTTTAATATGTATTTCGAGTCTTGGGTATGTTGACACTGTTAGGCACCCAGAGTCTCTGGGAATAGGTGGCATGCATACACACACACACACACACACACCAATCACAGCAATAGTCCTACAAGACTATTTTAGACTAGTCTTATTCATCTAGCCCAGGGTTTCTCAATCTGATCCACTTTAAGATGTGTGGACTTCAACTCTGGCTGGGGAATTCAATGCTGGCTGGGGAATTCTGAGAGTTGAAGTCCACACCTCTTCAAAGTGGATCAAGTTGAGAAACACTGATCTAACCCAAAGTAATAAGCTCCCTGTATTAAAAGCATTAAAAATATCATGTACCCAGTGGGAGAGCCGTGTGCCAAATGCAGCTTTATGAGAAACACAGCTATCGCTGGAAAATTACGTTGAAATTTCTGGGTCTTGCAGCTGCAGCAAATCCATAGTCAAGATCTCTTGACATTTCAGGCCTTCAACAAGCTGCTAAATATACTTTTAGTGGTTACAGAGGGAACTGGATAAATCATTCTCCTCCCGGTATTCAGAGGAATGATGTAAACAAGGTACACTCATATCAAAATCAAGTACACATACATACCACAGAAACTCAACTATAGTACACCTTTGTGTTTTGTAGGTGTGCATGAAACGTCACTGGTTAAAAACTAGTAACAGTAACACCTGAAAACAAAACAGTTTTCAAAACTGGCTTTAATTATTTTTACTTGCTGTCCAAATACTGTACATGCAGTTTAACAAGCCAAATGGAGAAACATTAATCTTTTTTTTTTTTTTTGGAAAATCCATCTTGTCTCCTTTGGAAAGAGGGGAAAAAAATCTTGTCAATAATAATTTACAAAATTGAGCGTGCACCCTCAAAGCTGTCAGTCCTGCTGCATATATAAATCCACAGAAAAATACAAGAGTTTTACATTTAGGAAAGACCACATCACATAGAAAACATTACAGAGCACGGGTATAAAATTGTGTGTGTGTGTGTGTGTTGGTCCATTAGTAACTGTTCTCTCCACTGCCCATTGCAAGACAACCCCTTGTGCTCAATGTGACTGGAAGTTTTAAAATGCTTATTGTGATCCCCGTTCATATTTCTCTCAGAAAATCTGCTACTTAAGGCCAAGGCTATACTATAATCTTGAGACGCAAGTAAGAAGGCGGGCTAATATAATCATTGGTTGGCTTGGACAACCTTGATTGACTTCTTCTAAACCCCAGTTTAGAAACCTTAGCTATGCTTTGGTCAAGATTACTATAATATCTAATTACTGTTTTGCAATGACTCCTATTCTAGGATTACTCCATCCTTTGCCATATTCTTCTGTGGAGCCCTTGGTGGTCCCTGGTTGTCTTCTTGTAGACATTCCATTACCCTACTAAGTAGTATCTTCAGTGCACAACACTGAAGATGTTACCTAGTTGGATAATTAAACATCTGCAAGAAAACAATTAAATTAAGAGACTACCAAGGACTCCACACTTCAACCCTGAGCTACAAATAGTTTCTTCTGTTGATATTCTTCTGCATGACGAGATCCCTGATTACTCTGTTCACAGAAAGGAACATAGGGAATATTAGTTTAGCTAGAATTTGCTTCTAAATAAAATTGGGTTAGGTGGACGGCCTGTTTAGGCCCCCCACCCATCCCCATTACTAGAACAAGCCTTGAAAATAACTTAGCAGCTAAAGCTACTTCAACTTCAAGAATCTAGAATGGAGCCATCTATTTTGCCTGCCACTTTCTTAAGCTCAGCTCAAGGACGCTGGTTTTAACCAAAGATGCCATAATGAATGGGTCTTCGCTGTATGAGGAAATCTTTTTTATATGACAGACCACCCAGATGTGGAGATTCTCAATCAACCAGGTCATGGTTGTTCCAAGGGTGCTTTTCCAAAAGGCAGCTGGGCTTTCTTGATTTTTTTTTGTTTGAAAATGTTTCACTTCTCATCCAAGAAGCTAGTTAGAAGCAAAGAAGCTTCTTGAATGGGAAGCAAAACGTTTTGGAAAAGCACCTTTGAGATGACCACCCAGATTTTAAGTCTTCCTAACAAAGACTCATTTAAGTAAGTCATACCTATTTAAATCTTGCCACTCTACTTTGGTTTCCTTTTCACAATCTTTTTAGAAGCTACTCATGCTATGGTTTCAAGGAGCTGTATGGATCCAGTTGTTTTTCCCAAGCCTGTCCATTCGTTGATGTTGCTTCATTGATATTTTAAAAACTATCGTATGGTCTGCTTCATATTCTGTATCGTTTGGAGCCTTCTGTTCTGAAAGGTTGCTATAAAGATGTATTTTCAATATGTAAAAGAAGACCTCCCCGTTCAGCCAATCATAGCTGAAGTGTTTGATTCCTCCTGAGGGTAGACTTTTTAAAAACAGGACAATGAACCTAAGCTTCTAGGTCAAGTTTACATTACTCCCACTGCATATCAATATTTTCATTTTATTCTACAAAGCTTTTGCTTGCTGCCTTGTAAACCATGTTTTTAGGAGAAAGGATAGATATAAATTACCCCCATAAATAAATACAAATACATCTTCAGCCCCTACTGAGAGTTCAGTTCCAGAATGGCTCCAGGCCAAACAAAATTTAGAGGTAGCATTGCCTTCAGTTTCTAGTGACTGTCTCTGGGGAATAAATTCACAATGTCACAGTGAACAATAAGCTGCTTTGTTCAACATTCTTTTTTGGGGGAAAGGAGGGCGTTGGAAGAACTAATTGGCGGGGAGAAGAAAGTTATCCATTGTTAACATGAAAACATATAAGCCCTTATATTTTGAAAGGAAAACACCAACAAGGCCACCAACATCAAAAGTGCTACAATCCAGAGGGGTTTGCTATCCAATGAGCCAGACAGTCCAACTCAAGACAGCCTATTGCACTCACACTCCGACTGAAAAGTACTCTGGCATCAGAAGAGCATTGCTTTAACATCGTTACTACAATTACAAAGAACAGATCCTTCATTCCAGCAGTTAGTGGGATGGTTAGGCTAATCTTCCCC